CATTCTACTGTGTATGAAGGTCTACAGGATCGCTTACCATTTTTATTTTTTTGATTACAGCTTGATTCCACACTGTATTTTTGGTACAAGTATGGAATTTTCAGCATGGATATCGGTAGCCCAAATTTCGCAGGCCGACCATAAATATCAGGTGTGCGCCGGCAGGGGATCGAACCTCGGACCATGTGCATGGTCGACGAGAGTCCTAACCACTGTGCCACCAACGCTGCAATTAAGATAAACAATACTACGAGATGAATATCAATAGGTAATATAATTAAGTATAATCCATGCTTACAAACTAACTAGATATAAGTGATCTTAATAGGCTTTTGATGAAGAAACTTATGAGATCTTAACTAAAACTCCGTATATTTCAAACATTTGGTTGGAAATTAAACTTCCATTCATGAGTAACACGTAAGGTGATAATGAATGATTACTACTTAATAATTATCTTAAAATAATTTCATAACTATGATTATCAACTGAATTTTCCCAACTGGGAAATAACGGTTCAGTGTATAGAATAATAGCGAATGAATTGTCAAAATGATGATTACATTTATTGATTTGTACGCTTCCAATAAGGTAAGTCTCAAATGTTGGCATTTATGTCAAACTTTAGTTGTGTTCCACCTCCACCAGTGACAGTAATAATATTAAGAAAAAGAAGAGGCAGAACAGTCACTTTACACGTGTTGTTAGATATTATTGTTCTGGAAATAATATCAGAAGTGACATAAAAATTACTTCTAGCATAAGTTTATAGTAGGATAAAATAATTTCAGGTAAAATCCTCTGTAATTCTTCCCTGACAGGGTTGACAAAGACAACTTATTCACTTTCTAATTCTATTTGGAGTCAATACATGAAATCACGAACATTTCGGTTGACAGATGTGGTCAGCTTTTGCTAAGCACTGATACGATTTCATCAGAATTAAAATAAGTAGTGTTTTTTAAGGTCAAAAAGTAAATCACAAAATTTCCATGAATAATTTCAAGTTAGTAAATAAAAGTTGGCCACAATATGAATTTCCACAGTTAAGTTACCATGATGCGTTTTGAGTTTCCATAACGTAATTACTTCCGATAACAAAAATATTAATCACTTAATAAAATAGAATAGATGATTCTTATAAATTTGAAAGTAAATTCAATCATTAATGAAAGTAGTCGAATCCTTTCAAACCCGAAAACTAAATATTTAATTATTTCCCATCAGTGGCTAGCTACCAGATGTTTCCAACAGTTCAGATAAGAAATTGTAACAGACTGGGTCCACTAAGTCAACTTTGAGAACAGTTGGTCAGAGAATCGATAGAATTTAGAAATCATGGCTCTTATAATCTCAACCCAACACCATATATAAGAGTAGTCCTAATTCCTGGTGTGTTCGTAGACTCGCTCTGGTGTTTAGTCCCTAAATAGGACAAATTAGCTGTCCAGTACTTAAGGATTTCAAATGGTTCTTCTATAAATGAATTTGGTCAGCAACGAAAACTACCTTCAGCTTCATCATATGTCCACAAATCGAAAATCTTGAGGTGCCATAAATACTTAGTTTTATATGAACCTTCTACTCATAAATATGTATATGTGTATATATCAGTTTACCTCTTACTGTGGGGTCAGGCACATAGGTCATTCGACGCACATCCTGTCAAAAAGGGTCAAAGAACACTATGCAGCGTAAAGGAAGTAGTGGCCGTATAAGGTGTGAAATAATCGAACATCTCGTCACCACTGGTCATTTCATCTCAACAAACGCCTCCTTCAAAGTAATCTACAAAGTGAAGAACAACCTGCCAAAGAAAATACCTTTCCGTCTTCTTTGCATTGCAGAAGCCCTAGCCATTCAGTTAGAAGAACCAGAACTATGCATACAAAAGAAAATTATCCAAACACTCCTACTATTATGTTAACAAATCTGTTGATTTGACTTCATTTTCGCTTGTTTGCTTGTTTTTTTTCTAACCATTTAAAACTCTTGTATTCCTTTAAAACTTCTACGTAATTCCGTATTTTATTTTGTTTCCATGTTCACCCTGAGTACCACTCTTTCATCAAACTATTCATGTTATTACGTAACTCTTATTTAACAATCGTTTGTGACAACCCATCCCTTTTGTTACTACCCTCTTGTATTAACATCTGAATGCTCGAAACGCTTTTATAATACGTAACTCCACCAAAATCTTACCAATTGTATTTTCGTTTGACAAATTTAGTGGAGACACAAATACAAAATGACCAAATATATTCGCGTTTGTACAGCTGTGAAAATGAATTTGTCGAAAAGAGACTTCGCTGAACTACTGGTCTTCTCTCTATTAATATTCGAATGGGGTTTTTTCATGAAATATATATTCCACTGATACCTGGTGATCAGCACACATATATGAAGTGTTCACTCTGTACCGCCTCTTAGCTTTATAATGCTACTTATTTCAGAATATCAGTATTCAACTTCTAAAAAGAGTTTTTTTAAAGTTAATGTTAGTCGGAAAAAGGTTAAGTCTTTCTGATACCTGCTAATTGTAAAAAGCAAGTCTTTAACTACTTGGTCGCGATCTGAAATTTTATGACTTGTTTAGGACTAACATGATCAAAAATGCATAAACTATTATGGTGTGTCATCAGTTAATCAGGCACCAACAACTCTGAAATTCTCAGATTTAAAACTGCGACTTTGCTTTGCAAAGACAAGACCGCCCAAAAGATTAACTAGTCTATGCTAAATCATTTTAACGGTTTCCTAGACTGAAATAAACCATTTCATGGATGGATGAGTAGTCCAGTAACCATTTTCCATTTAACCAATATTCCCTTCATCATACTTAAAACTTCAGTCTTGAAAGCTGGAAATCAAATTAATGGAAACAGTGAGTGAAGTGCTAAGATTTCATTTACTATTTAGTTCTCTTAGTAGGTATCTTACTGGTTAACTTTTCCGTTTACCCTCAACTAGGTCATGTACTAGATTCATCTTGCTGAAGCACTTTAGAATAAATGGGAATGGCTATAACAAATGCTCCCCAAATGTTCAGTAGTTCTCAAGCTAACTTCATTGGATGTTGTTTCGTATGACGATGAAACTGTGCAATTTCAGTAACTTTTTAGCGCGCTAACAAGCATATAATGGTGCAGGATTCCAACACTTCATGTTTGATTGAAGGTTAAGTCAAAGTACTTTACCCTTAAGTAATTCGATAACTTTCTGTAACCTTAATTTACTGACAAAATTTCTAATTTCATAATTTGGAACTGGCGAACAAACACAAATCTCCTTTAGGCCAAACATAAAGGGAGTACATTCAATTTATTTGCTCTTAGCGTTTAATATTAGTATTTTTGAGCAAATTAACTTTTTGACCACCTGATATATTAACTTAATTCGGCAATAAAGACTTGTGTTTTATGTTGCAAAGTCTATGGAAGTCCCGTAGAAAGTAGAGGTATAGACCTCTAATTAATATATTCCTATTTTTACCTGAGTCGAATTTTGAAAACTACCCAAGAGTTAGTGTTTACCATTTCCAGACTAAAACTTATGTCTATTTTATTGTTTTTTACATATTGTAAGTCATTGTCTCAAGAGTTTAGTTATCAGATAATAAACTACGGGGACGAGCACCGTTATACTTGTTGACGTTTATACAGCTGTTTACATTTACTTTGTGTAAATTTAATGTTTTTTCTAACATTTTGCCTGGACCTACACCGTTTTGCCAATTTATACTGCATTACTTCCCACATTCTAGGGTAATCTTTATAAATCCTTAATTTTAAGACGTTATGAAGATTTAAACTGGAAAAATCAAGTATTAAGTAACTTATTCAGCATTTTCTTTTTTTGTAAAGCCTACAAATATGCAGATTGTGACCGTGTTACTTCGATTACCGTTGTACTCTCTGACAGACTATTGACTTAACACGTTGCATAATACTAATTTGTAACCATTTCCGTGTTCTTCAGCTCCCAATATTAATTCTGCTGATTAAATTTACAATAATATCACTAGTCTTTATCGCTTGAAGTCATAATTCATTCTGAAAGAAAAACTGTTTTTTAGATTCTTGACACTTCTCAAGGTGGTGTTTGTCAAGTCCTAGGTAATTAGTATGCCTCTGATTATGTGAGAAACCGGTATCCTTTCCAAAGGTGACAAAATAATTTAGACGAAACAGCATTTATGTCTGCCATTTTCTTCCAACCATCCTACATCAATTACCTAGTTTTACAAATCCGGATACTTTTTAACAGGTTTAAAAGAAGTATTAATTCACGAATCATTTCATATTAGTAAAAACGTAAAAATATTAGTAATATAAGTAGTAGTATTTATATATGATAAGGTTGAGGAAAAAATTGCATATAGTGAAACATGTCACTCAATATAATAATTTTTGATTTTATAACAAAAAAGAACCCAAAGAGGAAAAACAAAATCCAGCTTAGAAAAAAGAGAGTTTATTGTTCATAATTTTTAGAGTGATTCATACGATTCAAGGAGAAATAACTTGTCATCATGTAAAGATGAGTTTATTGGCTTAATATGTGACTAGTAATGCTTCACTTTTAAATCGTTGATGAAAAAGAAATCGCAAACTACTATGCTTAGTAGTAAGTAGTGTTTGAAAGTCTCATAAATGTATTGACTTTGCCTATGCATATGTATTCATGTTATTTTCATTTTTTTTAAAAAGGAAATGGAATAAGGCAAACAAATGAATATATTGAAAGATTTATAAGTGGTAACGAATTGAACATTGAAAAACACTGTTATTTAAAGAGATAGACGAGTAATGTGCGCAAAATTGAGTTTATGTGTTTAGATGTGTAGTAGGATATATATATATATCTTCTTTGGACAGAATTGTAAATATGTATATGGAAGAAGTAAGACAAATAAACAGTCCCAGAAGTAATGAGACTTTGAACAGTATATCACTGCCGAATTAGTCAACAAGTTAATAAGTTAGGCATATAAATATTCACATATAATTGTATTTTTGCGATTGAGGACTGGTAATAAAAGTGGACATTGAATCGGTTGGCGTACTATATTCCAAAATTTCTTTTGGTTCAAGAATTTCTAAGTGTAGAGAATAGAAGATGAAAAGTTAATAGATAAAATTTCAACAAATCCATGATGTTATCAGCATGAAATAAGTTAATAGTTTTACTTGTTCATGCATATTTTAAAAGTCTGCCTCATGTATCATCATTCATTGGTTGCACACATGAACCAAATTTCTTGTCAGAAAGACCACTGTGACTGAAGAAATAAAAACACCACTATCTAGAAGAATATTTTCCATAGCAGTAACTGTTATTAACCTATCAACAGCAGGCAGCAAAATGTGAACAACAGGCGAAATGATCATTTTTAAATAAGCGGTGTGCTGATTATCATATACCCATTTACTAAATAAAACCGTCTATTTGACATTCTCCTTATCGTGTATTTTAATGGTTACATTAAAACTTTTAGTACCATTTTAATCAGATCTCTTAGCGTATTACATCTGCGTTTATAGATGTCAAGATACTAGTCCTTTAGGTCGAATGCCGAAAACATTAGATCTAGTGACAGTTGGTCATAATTTTTACCAGAGTTAGTGATTGTTGCTTACAAGCAACAATAAATGAAGATTTCTTGGTGTAGGAGAACAAAGAAGCGAGGTTGAAAGGCACAAATTCACACCAAGTTTCTAAACTGCATCAATAATGCCAAAGAACATAAAGTTCTATAAACCACTTCCTTGATAAAAAGGTTGTGCACGTGATTAAAAGTATTAAATAGTTGTCTAACACTTTTTACGAATTCAGCAGTCAAACCAACCTATATTTCTGTGGGCTAGATCAACTTGAACAGATGTTATTCAAGCATTTTTGAATGAGGAATGTGCAATCGCAATATCTATACCAGTCAAGATTTTACGTTTTCATGCTGAGCAACTTAAAACTGATTTCCTGTCCTAAACAAGCCTATAGGAATATATTCTTTGCATCTACTTTAAGAGACAGCAGAATATGAAATTCATTATTTTGTCTTCCTAAAAAAGCAGCAGAGGTTAAAAGTTGGCAAAAGTTGTACAGTAATTTTCTAAGAAAATATGATGAATAAATGAGAAAACAACACAATGACCATTTTCTTAGCTACGCCAAAAAAATGTGATTGCATTTTTTAGTTAATTGTTTCTAGCACAGTTTTCTATCATTTTTTAGATGTATTAAAATGTGATCATGTCATGTCTTCAGTAAACGTTAAAATTTAGCAGGTGACCTGAATAAAGTCTTGACAGATACGACTTTAAATGAAAGGTAGAAAGTTTCATTGTGGCTTTTACTGGACAGTTTTTTAGCATAAGTGTATCTTGAAAATGAGTGCATAATGCATGCATTAACGAATTAATTTATCTTAGTTTAAAAGAATCCATTACTCCATTATTTGGCCACTTATACTTACAATATAATGATAATTGTTTCATCTTATCTATTTGTTGGTGGCACCTTTAAAACTGCTAGGCACATGGTTTGCATGGATTAGCATATAATCTCTGGTGTTTTCACTGAGATTCGAACTATGTAGTTATCAGTTCAATTGACAAAGCATTATCCCATCGGCTACCGAGTCATGAGAACCAATGTTTGTGCCATTTTCTGTTTGTTCATTGTTTATAAATAGTTCTGATCCTAAGTGAAGGTTACTTAGCTAATTCTTTCATTACATGCAATTACTAAAGACCATTTTAGTCAGTCCATAACCAGTTCTGTGTCCTGTTTTATCTTAATCCAAATTAGAAGAACCATAAAGTTACTACCTGTAGATTTTCTTGGCTTCACATCTTAAGACTTAAAGTTTCAAAGTAAATGTTTAATTTCCTTTGGTGAAAATTTGCATTTAGAGACAAAATCAAATATTCAGGCACAAGGGACGTTGAATATTTTCCTATTCTAGTTTAAAAGTTTTTATAGAAAGAAAACTACATTTATGATCATTAGGACTTTAAATCCTTTTCATGACGCCTTTCAGTAGTTTATGATATAACTTTATTGTTTCTTATTTCAGTTGAGACTGAACTGTGGTAATCAACTCCTTCTAATCAATCACTGTTTTAAATACTATTTTGGAATTTAACAGAAATTACAAACAGCATACTTATTTCAAATTATGAAATTACCTTCGCCTTTGGTATGTTCACCTCCTACTCGGGTACAATTGGTAGGAAGGCAAAGTTCCTTTATGTGAATAGGTAGTTCATTATCCCGTGGACTCAGCGAATAATTTACACTATTTGATTCATCACATTTTGACACACCTATATGTTGCTTATCTTGTATATTCTTTGTGTCAGTCATTTGTGAATTACATTTAGAAGATGGGGATAATACCACCCTTGTGTACATGGGATTTTCATTGTCATGAAACGCTTCAATTCTTCTTCTTTTAGGTTCATCTGTGCTTTGATGAGTGGTGATGTTATTATTAGTATTGGCGTTTATTTGAGCATCACCAAATTCCTCACTAGTATACGTACTTGTTTCTACAATATTTGAAGCAGCAGCCAAGTGATTTGATTCCTTCTTACTCAATAAATCATGTTGTTTAACTGAAGAATTGTATGACCAATATATTCTTTCATTGTACCAACGCAACTCAGGGTCATTGTTTTGATCTAGTGGATTCGATTCTTTCTTACCTGATAACAAACCCTGAGAATGGTGTCCAAAATGATTGAAACTGTTGTCATAAACATTGTGCTCATTTATTTTCATTAGAGTAGAATGTGAATCATTCATATGTGAATCTTTTTCTCTGTCATAATAGGATGTAAAATCCGTTCTCATCTGCTCATGATGTTGAATACTGTTACTCATATTCATAGGACTATCATACCCATCTGAAATAGTTGGTTTATACAGGGGAGAAGTAACAGTAGGATTTGAGTTTTGAATACATGGTAGTGTCTTATGCATCATAGTCTGATAAATTGGAGGTAACTGTTGACTAACAGGAATATTATTATTTCTTGTTTGCTCTGGTGGGCTAATAAAATTGAAAGGTGAACGATCTAATTCCCTTGTATATGCTTTCCGAATCGGCATACACTCCCCGAGATGAGAAGTATTTGTCACTGAATTCACCATTGGTGATGTCGACAGTTTTAAACCAAAATGATCCGACTGTGTATGAAGCAAGTTATCAAATGAGACTGATGCCGGAGTTGTAGATCTATGTGCTTGTCCATTTATGGTAGTAGTATGAACGCTGAAAACACTATCAGTCGAAGAAGATGAAGAAGACGGTCCGGCTTCTTCTAATTCTAAACTCCTGCATGAAGCAGAAGTGGCCAAAATGTTAGACACATTTAAGTTGGGAGGGACTGACATTTCACTCGACTGGGTTTGAAATTTCGTCATGTTCACATTATCATAATTTATACCACGATTGTTTGTGGAATTCGGGATTAAAAATTGTGTCATTTCTTTCGTTAAAATATCATGGGTCATGTTCCCTAAATTAAATGTGCTAAATGGGGATGATGTCATATTGTACAGCGATCCTTCATGATTCATCTGAGCGTAGTTATTTGAAGATGAAATATTTGCTGCAACTGCTGCCGCCACTGCAGCTGCGGCTGCAGATGCACACTTTCTGCGAAAGCCACGTGGCCGTCTTCTTGACGCTCCATCTTGGAACATAAATTCGGCTGCTGGATCAATAGTCCAGTAATGACCTTTTCCAGGGCGACCCATACCTGAATAATATCATAAAAATAGACAAGGTAAAATTTACATTAGTACATATAGGCTAAAGAATATTCGTATTTTAAACAAAATATAGGATTAAATGAAGGACTGAGTTATCCACTTTTTTAAACACAATGAACTGTCCTCGTAATGGTGTGGTAGTTAGTAGTAATCCATCAGGACCAAGATATTGGCAGAGTGGTAATTAACTACAAAAACAAAGATATCATATGGTGAAAAATAAAACCTGCTTGGCCAAACAGATTTATAAAATTGGATAACTCTTATAATAACAGTGAGCGAAAAGAATAAGTGATTTCTTCTAATTACCAATTTTTAAATTATAATTAAAAAATAGCTTTATTCTGGACAAAGTGTTTACAGTGTACAGAATTCCCAGGGTAATTCATTGCATAATATTATCTCCTCATCTAGGGTCTTCAAGTAAAGTTGCATTCCAGAGTATTTCACGTGATGCTAGGCTTTTAGAAATAGGATAGCATAGACTAAACCCTTTTGATACTTGAAAGTCAATCTGAAAGTGTGCGTGAGGACAATTTGTGACTCAGGGACACAACTGAATAGTTAAGACAATAAGAATTGAAGCAAATACGATACACTGTGTTGAGTAGCCCAGTGATTCTAGCAGGTTCCCAATTATCAAAAGTAAATAAGTATGGACAAATAAAAGGGAATGTGACACTAGCAATAAAAGTCACTACACACAATACTTTGGATATGGCAGAAACAGTAGTATTCACACACCTTACGGATGTTTTGATATGTTTTTCCCAAGGTTTAGGTAGACGAATAGACTTCACAAATCAATACACGGTCATCTTATTCAAAAAAAATTTCAATGTTTTGTGTTGTGCATAAAAAGATCTTATAGAAAAGAAGTTAAAAAGAATAAAATAAGTCAGTCTAAGAATTCTGTTAGTGACAGTTGTAAATTCTGTATTGACGGGATCTCTGGAAATGAATTTCTGTGTTGACTTAGTTTGCTCTTCTCGGGTCATTGAGAGATAATCGTCATAAATAAGAATTAAGTTGCCACAATTAAATACCAAGTGAGGCACTTGAAACGAAGAGTACTGTTTGTTAGAACTGAGTGATTTATCACCGTCTTGCCAACACCTGTCGAGTGACTTTTCCTTTTTGACAAAATGAAATGCTTTGTTATGAAATTCGTTAAATATATGAATGCAGTCGGTTGACCAGGAACAATGTTAAGATGTTTGTTTGAGCTGTTGATTCGAAGAAACATTGTAGTACAGTCAACCGAACAATTAATAAGTTAGTTTCTCATAAGAGACATACAACCTGACTGATGTGTATTTGGAATTTATTAGTCATTTTTATTGCAACATCAGCTTTCCATGTTACAAAGACATTTGAAAGAGTAATTGGTTGATTACGTTCTTGTTTGACGGAAAAATAACTTGCTGAATTAGAATTCTTCAACCGTTTCATTTCATTGTAGTGCACATTGTACCTTTGAACTTTTGTTTAAACTCGCTCACCCATCGTTTGGCACATCTTTATCTTTTGAGTTGTGACTCTTCCGTACATTCGCTGGTTCGCTCTCTCGTTGTGCATTCATTCAGCACACTCTCCGAGCCTACCACCAGCGACGTCAGCAGATAAGTTATACAACCTCTTTATTTATCGAATTTCATATTTCGTCTGTGTGAAATATAACTGTCCAGATACACTTGTCATTTCAAGTCTTTTTATCTTGATTCTATTCGTCAGTATTTGCGCGTTAAGCAGAGTACAGTTAAGGTCGTAAAACGGTGAAGAAGTTTTGTATGAGTGTTTAGAATTGAGGTCTACCCTAAGCCGTAATAGCTCTTACAGCGTCATTAATGCTTTTCGTAAAAATTAATGAGTCATCTGCTTATTGATGTCAAAATCCTAATCCGCTGATTTTTCTCTTGTCAAGAGTTATTTTCTACTTCTACTCTGAAAAATTAAGTAACACCACCAATTCGTCAAAAAATCTCCTTAGTGAAGAAGTTGTTTCTATACTGCATATATTTAGAAAATCTTTTCCTCAAAGATACATAAAATCCTTTTCTTGAACACCTAAGTAAATAGAGGAATCATATAAAATTGGGAGTTACTTATTATTAGCGGTAAATCTCACAGTATACTTCAAGCTGTGTTGTACGACTTCAATGTTTAACAGCTGCAAAAACTTTGTCAGACACTCAAGACAACTTGAAATTATGATTCATTTAAATTCAGAACCAAAAAGAAATTTACTTCTATTAGCTAAGAAAATGCACCTTCATAAAAATGTTATGATCTCAGAATGGAATCAAATAAAGCTTATAGAGATAAATTACTGTTCAGCTAGAGTTTGACTATAAGAAGAATAACCTAGCAATGTGTTAAAGTGCAATTTTATATGTGATTAATGTGTCTGCTATAGTACACGATTATACAGTACTACTTACTGGATGATCTTGATAAGATAATGAGAGATAAATTTGCTCGAAACCTCATTCAATGAAAAATGCTATATCACTATCACAGTACATCACATGAAAAGAACCAATTTAAAGTGAGTTAGAACATGCTGACTGTGAAGCAAAATATTTTGAGTATTTTCTTGATTACGCTGTAATTAAAATCCTTTTAATAATTTTCGCCTCAACGTTGAACACGGAAGGGAGTTATTGATGTATTAAATATGGTTTAATTTATCGGAAATAACAGTCTACAAAACAATTTAAATAATACTTCACAGTTTACAAACACAGTAAGTACAGTAAGCATACAAAGATTCATAAAAAATAAATAATTTCATCTGACATGATGTAATCAAGTACATGAAAATGGACGTGAGGAGATTTCAAAGTTAATGTGCTTCATCTAATTTTTCCCGCCTTGCAACCATGAGAAGAATGCACCTATTGACTAGAGAAGAATTATGTATTTTCGACGATTACAGATCAAAAGGCATTTTTCTGTCAAACCTTGTGTGCCAAACAGATTCCTTAGGTTAACAGGATAGAAACTGTCTTAAGGCTGTGGACACTGTGCTAAACAAAGCCAGCTTGGCCGACCTCATTTATTCACTTTCATACACTTAACGTTGAATAAAGAACACCGTAATATCGAAGTACCATGATCGAAAGAACTAATGCACACTGAAAAGTAAATTGCATGATTTTGTCTCCAATACGCACACAATATACTTTCCACAAATAAATTAAGAGGAGTACATCACAACCAAATTAAGTACCCGTTAGAACATTGGGTATTTAAAGCTCAAAATAACGATGATCTACAAGAATGTTAAAGACTTCGTATCGCGGTTAATATAATTTCATCTCTTCACAATATTAGTTAAATGTATGCTGAAAATAAGGAAGTTGCCTTGTCTCATTATATTTTTCCTAATTGAATTATTCCTTACCTTCCCTTCCCTTAAGTTAGATGCTGGACTCAAGTTCTATTAGCAAGTACATCTAAGTAACTTTTGATTGATAGCGTTTCTAATTACAATTGACTTGAAATTTAAAACTGTTTACTATTCGGTATTATCTATTCCGTCACTTTCATAATTACCAAATTCACTTTAATAATTAAGATTTTAAATTTGGTTTTTCACACTTGTTATATTAGGAAGAACAGATAAACGGAATTAACAATTTCAGATATTTCATGAAACCCTGATGTACTCTTTTTAATCGACACCTTCAATTGTTCTGATAAACATACACATATGCAGAGAAACAAACTTTTTCTATACATTATTTCAATACCAGCTTAGGGGCTGAATATATATAATGACTAGTGAAAAACAAAGATACCGATTAGTGTCTGTTCAACAGTACCTTGTTAGAAAACTGTAGTAATTTGACTACAGTACCCAAAGTATGCATAATTTACCACTTGTTAACACTAGCACCAATTTTATTGTCAATACCAGTTCTATTCATACTACTGCTATTATAATTACCATCACTACTACAGATGTTACTTATAAGACCGTACTTATAGTGTCCGCTTTAAATTTTGTATGTATATAAATGGGTACTGTAAAATTGTGTGATGATAGAGGTGTGCATTCAGAAGTGAGTGATTCACAGAATAATCTACATTTTCAGTGCACTAAGTATTGTAGTATTAATATTCAAGAGAATGTTATCATATATATACGATAGGTGAATGTGTAAATAAAAAGTTTAATATCCATTGATATCTTAGTGTATACATAAATATGGCGATTTTAGTGTGACTTTTTTCAATACAATAAGTTCATATATATATATATATTCATAAAATGATAGATCAATGCAATAATTAGTCTCTGGAGCACCATAACTTCAGACAGCGATTTACATCGAATCGTTTTAACGACACGATGAACAGTTGAAATTAGTCAAGGTCACTTAGTGTAAGTTTAAAATGCTTGAGTCTTCTGGGAATCAATAAATCGCAATAGGTAATATGAACATCCTGTAGAGAATAAAGGACGCACTGGATACAGAACTCCGACTAGAACAAGCTGGCTGCATTCACGAAAGGCAAATCCATGTTCTGACCAGATTGCAACTCTACGCATCATCATCATCGAACAAAGCATGGAATGACAATCATATCTCTACCTCAACTTTATAGACTTCGAGAAGGCCTTCGACAGAGAGCGTTGACCGTGAAGTAATTTGGAAATTACTCGGGTACTACGGCGTACCCCAAATATTCATCAAGCTTATTCAACAGCTAGCTGTACAACAACGGAACATGTCAAGTGATCCACAACGGAAAACTCAGCGAGGCGTTTGGAGTAAACACAGGAGTCAGACAAGGGTGCTTATTATCACCCACGATGATATTCCTAATTGTGGTGAACTGACTGGATTATGCGTCAGACTGTGGGAAACGAGAAGACAGGGATATCCTGGAGCGACCGACGTGAAGAACCTAGAAAACGTGGATTTCGCGAGTGGATGATTTATGTTTGATGTCACACAAAATCGAAGCAGCCGGCGAAGATAGGACTCCAGGTGAACATAGACAAGACGGAAGTTATGAAAATAACCAACTAACAACAACAGCAGGAGCAACATCCAGCGCCAATCACCATCAACGGGAGGGATTTGAAAGAGGTTACTTCATTCACTCACTTATCTAGGGAGTATTGTCTCAACTACAGGCAGTCGGAACGGACAAGGATGTCAAATTAAGCGAGAATCGGGAAGGCAGCCGAGAAACACATTCATCAACCTGAAACCAATCTGGAAATCTTCGTCACTCATCCTGCATCAACAACAAAATTCGATCGGATTTTCAATGCAAACAACGTCAGGTCAGTCAGTTCTTCTATACGGATCAGAAACTTGGCGGGTGGTTCACAAAGAATATTTCCATCAGCCTGCTGCAGACCTTTATTAACAACTGTCTCCGGTCTATACTGAAGATCAGATGGCCAGGCCGGAAAGAATCACCAACAAGAAACTATGGGAACAAATAAACAAAACAAGAACCAATCGCCAACCAACAAATATGCAGGAGAAAGTGGAGATGGATGTGTTTGATAAAAAGTCATACTTGCTTTATCTGATGAAGCACATACCTATCTCCGTTACCACAGAGATAGTATGAGTTGCTATTTTCAGAATCTTTCTTTGAAATGTCCTATCAAAAACTGAGACAAATTTGCACAAGCTGTCAGTAAAGTAGTATAACGTGGGTTAAGATCATTCTCTTATTTGTAAAGTAAATATGATACTAAATCGTAAACGTCATTTTGCTTCTTCAGTCACCGTCAACTTTCACATATTGTACTTCATGATTCAGTCATTCGGGATAATTCCATTCTCCTTTCATCAAAAAAGTATTCGCTCCTACAATATAGTGCACATTCTTGTTTACTTAATACACTGTTCTTCATACTATATTAATTTTTGATGATTTTTAAGTGTCTAGAGGAGACTGTGTGCTGAGACACACCAACTAAAACTTTTTGTACCTTCTAAGGTATGCTATGCCTTCAATAAGTCTAAAATAAGTACATAAGGGATGCTTTTGTTTACTGGTGATTGCATAATAAGACATATATCCACATTTAAACAACGTGATTTCGCATCATAGAACAAAAAACTGATAATATTAGCGTTTAACAAATAACCCACTGTAGAATTAAATACAGAATAAGATCTTCCCTTTAAAAATAAAACGATTTTATCTGTCCTGAATGATGCGTAAAGGTATTTCATCTATTAGTAATTATTACACTAAGAGGACGGTAGCATACATGCAGTTATTTCAGGTGCATTAATCAGTTTTATTATTACTCAAGCTCACCTGTTAACCTTCAAATCAACTAAAACAAATGGCTTTGTATTTAGCGGTAACTGGTGGTGTTATCCAGAGCACACGTTTCATCTTATTTAGGATTAGTGATCTGAATGAACCTGTACTCCAGTGATTGTTAGTATTGTCATACAGATTCGAATGCAGTACTTCTTTTCAAACTCTGGGCTACTGGTCAAAATATAAGCAGATTGAGCTGATGCACCTCAAGACGACAAAACCCAGGTTTTGGATTCTACCATCCACAGACATCTTAGGTGATACAGAAGTTCTTAATTTACTAAATCACCTTTTCACCCACTGGCTTTAGTAGATTTGAAAATTATTTCGGAATATTGTGCACACCATAAGTAATCATATCAATAACAGAGGTATATGAACTGTATTCTAATCTAATCTCCAAGATATATTTATTTATTGAACACTTTATCATGTATACAAATGATATGTTACATTTTTTTCATCCCCAGTAAAATGACAATACTGATTACCATGGATTTATCTGACATTTCGATTTAAAGACAACAAAAGGAACTATTGAATGGGTCAAAGCTCACGTCTACATCCTCCTGTTTATTTGTTAAGTGGGTAAAACAAAACTTTGTTTATTTACAATACAACATTAACAATAAGTGCATATTTTTGTTGAGTATAGCTCGGTATTTCTGAGCTGTCAGTTATATGAATCTGGTTTTAGAAAAAACAATGACAAATAATCGTTAATCACGTTTTAATTGCTTTAAGACTTTTCTATGATGAAAATTGGTGAGGAGGAGATAGGCAGAAACGTAACATTTTGACTACGTGATTTACTGACGGATATTAAAAGAACACTAGAAAAGAAACAGGAGTACGATTCCGCCATTCCTTTTTGTAACTGTGTATTTGATAAGGAAAGTAATCAAGTAAGGAAAAAGAAGATGAGGGAACTCTAATATGTCGCATGTGGAAAAGACAGTGACAACTGAACCGTCTGGTGATTACACTTAGAGGGGAATTTAGTAATAATACTAGAATAATAATAATACTCGCTAGAAACCTAGCGAGCTAGTAGTCTAGGCGAAGTTAGTAATAATACTAAGACCACATTTTTACTTTTAATACTTAACAATGTTTAATTTTAGGGAAATGTGTTTTATGTTATTATATTGAAAATAAATTCATATTACTGTTACCGTAACTGAAGATCTGAAGAGTTAAAAGGCGAAAAAATTATTTTTTAAGACTTTTTACTCTTTCTACACAAAACATATTTTAAAATAATAAACTGACCTTTTGGTAATTTGATAAAAACTTCATTCAGCGATAAATTATGACGAACTGAATTTTTCCATCCAGTATATTGTCCACGAAAAAAGGGAAACTGTGTATGTAGGTATTGGTAAATTTCACTTAAGGTACATCTTTTTGAGGGTGATGCTTTGATAGCCATTGCAATCAGCGCAATATAGGAATATGGGGGTTTCTCTGATCGTCGACCAGCTAAAAATGGTAAATTAGTAAGAATAATCCCATCAAGGTCAAAACACACAGATAAAGTTTTGTCTATATTTTTCACAACGAAAACAAATGAACCAAGCTTCATTTCAATCAATATTGACTTCCTTCAGCTTCCAGTAGCTGATTCTTGTAGATCATTCAATAGAATACTTTGTTTTTTAACTTATAAATCCCTAATTTGAATTCTGAGGTAACTAATGATTCTCACCAAGTTTCACTCATCGTCACAGTACATAAAGACCAGACTAACAAATGAAGTTTACTTCAGACAAATAAATTTGATTCTATTAATTAAACCTTAAACAATGGAATTTCCCATGTGGTAATAACATTTCTTTCAATGCATTTGGTTTCTTGTAATGTTGTAGGTTCTACTATATGTATATGTGTATTCAAAACGAAATAATTTTTAGGATGAAGAGAGAGGTTGACTAACTGTTAATTAGGAGGTTTAAGTACGCACCATATAGAAGCGGTTTTTATGAGAGCATAGAATACAAAAACTTTGCTATTTTACTTCGTTATAATTTTAAAATAACATTCACACGATTAAGTAACCGACATTTTCTAAAACTGTATGCCCCACTTCTTTCTTAGTACTCAAGTAATAAATGCCTACCTCTTTGAAGAACTTAACACTTTCCTTTGATATAAATGAATCCAACAAATTCAGGGTTAAAAGTTATTTGTCAGCTTGTAGCAAAGCAGTAATCAGTTGAGTAAACAAGTTAAGCGAGTGTCTCATACTGAGGAGCAAGAGTACTGTGAAAACATCTCACCTGTACACCATATATTGAATAAAAGTTTGGAAAATATGGGAAGAATTTACTTAGTGTACATTCTGTTTTCGATAATCACCACTTCGAGACTTAAAAGTCTAAACAACTTTTAATTTATTAACATTCATTCTTTAGTTATCCTTCCTTTAATTAGATTGACGTATGTACGAAATGTAGACAGTGTAATTATCTCGAACAGTAAATAAATAGATCCATTTTGTTTACTTTAATGTAAACCTTACTCTTTCTTCATAGCACATCGTATTTCCTGAAGCTTTACAACTATGTCTGACAGAAATTATTCTCGAAAAACAAAAACTTCCAAATATGTACGCACAGACATCAAATATACAAACGTAGTTCACATTCACCGGAAGTGCCGGAATTTTCTCCTACTTTAATTCTCTATCTCTCACTTCCTTTCTCACTCTCTCTCTCTCCCTTTCGCCATGTATATATGTATGTATATATTTGTTGATGAGACATTTTGCTTATCGAAAATGCTTTTTTTTACTTCAAAAAAAGTGCACAGTTGATATGATAAATCACTTGATTACTATTAGAATAAAATTGACGATCATGTTTTATGCACATTTATTTACAGTTAACCGTGTATTGTCGCCGCAGACTGTAAGAAGGAAGGTAGTAGATATCACAGGCTGTTGTTCTTGTTTCATACATCTTTTTCGAAATATAAATCGTACTTGTAAAATAACAACGATCTAGGTGATATTAATGATAATAATGGACGTGATGAATGTTCCAGATGCTGTTATTTTATGATGGACATGAAATAAAATAAACTCTCGATATATGTATATATATATATATATATATATATATGCATTCAGCAAAATGATATGCAAAGTTGAGTATACGAAACCATTTCTATGAAATGTCACTTATACAGAAAAACAAGTACTTTTCTTTTAACGACGAATAGAATTGCTTCATTCATACGCTAAATTTAATAATGCTATATCAGAAAATAGAATGCATTTGATCAATAGTCAACAGTTGTTTACTAAATTTTGCAAGACTACTCACGACTACCTCTTAGACCTCTACCTAGGGTTTTATTTCAACAAAATTTTGTATGTTAAAGAAAGGTTTGTATTTTTACTTGACCAAAAGGTTTACAATTTACATTCTGTGAATTCTATATAAAAATGCGATAAAGTCTTGTATTGTCTCTCAAGAAAAATCAAGTGCAAACAAACGTGAAACTATAAATAAAATGAAACAACACTTTGAATATTTAAAACTATAGAATATGTTTGGTTAAATAATAATAATAATAAAGCTAGAGTATTTATTTTTTAGTATTGTTAATGTATTTACGCGTTGAAGTTTCTGTAGCAATTTGGTTAAGTTTTGGGGGTGGAGATGTTAGCACCACACCCCAACCCTCCCTCTTTATCCGGGCTTGGGGCCGGCTAGAAAACTAGCGAGTTAGTAATCTAGGTGAGAAACTATGGAAACAAACAGAACAAGAACCAATCGCCAACCAACAAATATGCAGGAGAAAGTGGAGATGGATTGGACATTTGTTGAGGAGGCTGTTGGGTGACATCGAGCGTCAGGCCATCACTCGAGTGGAACCCGAAAGGGAAGAGGCGAGTGGGACGTCAGTGCAAGGGTGACGTGTAGGAGATGGTGTGAAGAGGAGTTGAAACAGTATGGACTAACATGGAAGCAGGTGAAAAGTACAGCAAAAGACAGAAGCAAGTGGAGACGTTCAGTTGAAGCCCAAGGGAACAATAGTAATAGAGTATTTATTTCATTTGGTTTTATTACATTATTATTACATTACATTATATTTACTATTGCTTACATGTACCTCACTAAAACCAATACAGTGAAATAACAGTTAGACTGGGTGTTTCGAGAGTGAAGCCAAAAATAAGCTACTGCATAATACTCAGCAAAATACTCCTGTGCATTTTTTTAAACATTTCATGAGGAGATAATCGATACGAATACTGTTTTATTGCATGACGGTGGTGTGCGAAGTATCTTAACCAGAAAAATAGAGTAGACTAGTCGACTTGTCCTGGTTGAGAGCCTCTTAGCATTCTAAATCTTAGGTACTTTATCTGTATAAATAAGGTAAGAATTGGTGTGTTTTAAGTTATACTGTACGCGATATTAAATTTAATTTAGACATCTATATTTTACAGTAGCGTGAAACAAATTTGAAAAAATGGGAAAGTTGGACAGTTATTTGGTCGATTAGCTTCTCAAAGCGGTTCTTTTCATGAATCAGTCTGGTTTTTTCCCTGTTCCTGAATCTTTCTGCACTATATATCCAAGTGTTGAGTCTACAGTCCCTAGAGATTTTATTGCCACAAAACATGATCGATAAGAGGAAAGTTAGCTTCTTTTCACAATAAATAAGACTTCAAGGAGGTTAGTTTGATAAGATATATTCCTGGAGCAAAAATGATCCTATATTATATTATGATGAAGGGAATCCTGTTATACAGATTTGTTCGGAAATTCTTTTTATTTCTATCCACAAGCAGATGTATACAGTCTTGCAGATAATATTGTAATGAACAATGAACATTTGATTTTGTGAAAAAATCTTGGTGTTATTAGAACAGTGAAAGTTGACAACATAAAAATATAGAAAAATTTTGTGTTTAATGAAGGGCATCTGCTTTTCTTCCAAATGGTTAGCTGGATTCGATGCTTAGTCACTCAAACTAGTATTCTTTGTGACGAAGTTGAGCATTTAAAAATAAGTGAATTACATTAAACGACTTGGTCTGCACTGCTTTTATTTATTTATTTTTTGGTGTTCCTTTAATTGATGTCTGCGTCGGTGGTATAGCGGTTAGGACTCTCGCCGACCATTCACATGGTCCGGGTTCGATCCCCGGCAGACGGACTCCTTTACCTCGCTAAGCTAGAAATATTTCTGGTAAAGAGGAAAGGTTGGGCATGAAACTAGCAACCCCATCCTGTAAAATAAACACTCCTACGGATTTAATATCAGTAAAAAGTTTGAGCATTGTGGATTAGATCAAATAAAGTATAATTACATTTCAATAGTTTACATAACAAAGCAAAATTACTGCCCGTGTTCACACCACTGTTGGAATTGTGTGTAAACTATTGAAATATAATTATACTTTATTTGACTCCTACAGAAACTTCAAGCCCTATGTTCCACTGGGGAACGTGAAGGAAAAAAGTAATTGATTACTATGTGTTATAGTGAAAGCTAAATACTTTGTGAAGCAAAAACAGAATAGACACATTTCTCTAAATCCTATTACTTAAATACAGTTCTCAACAGATAATTTAAACTTGAAGTCTTAGTAAGCTGAAAATCTGTATTACCTCTTTTTTCAACAACAGAAATCGTGACAAGTATTCTCAAGAATATCAGAAGATTGGCTATGAAATCTAGACTCTCAAGTTTGAGGAATTAATATTCAAAAAGGAATTGTCTAATTGTTATTTGTTGAAGTCTATCGTGCCTTAAGAACCAACTATTTTATGTTTGGAGCAAAATAATTCCTATGATTTCATGACGGTACTTATGAGTAGTCAGTGTTCCTCTTAAAAAAACACTTTCTGCTCTCGTCAATGGATGGGTACGACAAATCTAGTTCTGAATGTTATTCGATAATGATACTGCTAGTTAAAAGAATTCAACCACTATAGTGTTACTTGATTAACGTGTTTCTGTCTGAATGCTTTTGTATCCTACATGTAACTATCGAGTTGGTTGGTGATCTCGACTAGTTAGCGTGATTGTTTAGCAAAAACTTACATCCGTGTATTCATAAAATCATTATTTCAAGTAATTCTAATCTAATCGGAAAGATTCATTAAAAACCACTTAGTCTGAAAACTGACTGCTATGACATCAAGTGAGTCAAGATCAAACGTCCTCATAACGAATGTATTCAGCTCTCGGGACAGTGGAAAAGTAACATCACAAGTTTGAGTCTGTCGTGATATCAGTAAGTTTGAAGTCATATATTACTCAGAGTGCTTTGCTGACACATATCCTGTTATCTGTAGTTAAAAAAGCATTACTATTATTCTTTGCAATCCTTTATGATGAGTTTAACAAAAGCATAAAAAGTGTATTCATTTTATTCATGAACCTTGTTGAAGAAATGAAAATGAATGCTTGAGTAAGTGATAATCTGAACTTCGGAAGATTAAAGAACATTATTTCGTTAATTCCAGCTAGTTGTGCTAATAAATGTACCCAAATTGGTTAGATAAAGTGCCGCCAGCTGTAGATATAAATATAAGAGTATAACTGTAGAAATTACTTCACACACATATTAGATCTAATATTCATAAGTTTGCACTCATCGTTGACTAGTAATATTCGCCATTTATGATTTCCTAAATCATTTTACAGGATGTGCATTTAAAAATCTACGTTCTTTGATAATTTATTCAGGCATCTAGCAGTTTTATGGCATCTTAAATAGATAAGGCCGTTGCAACTGGTTCTATCTTCTTAGTATATACTTGTTTTGAAATTTATTTGAATTCCAAGGAATAACCTAATAAATTTAAGATGGGAAACCGTTTGATTATGGTAACATAACTCTTTGTCGCATTGCTAACAACCTCCTTTTTATTTATGTTTTGTTAATAGTGGATTCACTGGCACATTTTTATAATTCTCTTTTAAAATGTAAGAAATCCTCTCAATCGGATAACTGTAAATGGAGAACAAAAATATCCGGACCTTTCTTTAACAGTTTGAAGACAGCTAAGCTCATTTGAAAACACTGCGAATAAATGAGTAGGATGATAAGTCAGATAGGAGAAAAATGAGGTATTACAATAGCTTTCGACACATATCAGTGTTAGCTGAAGGGAAATTAGAAACCAGGGAATAAATGTAAGCAGTACTAAATGCCATCCCCGACTAGTATTTTGTGTACAAGGCTGCAATGCACCGAATTAAGAGTTTATAATGATGCACCCATTAGGCTATAGTAATTAGGGTAGGATTATTGTAATGTACTGGTTCAAATCCTTAGTTCGGAAAGAATATTCCTGAAAGCTGGAGAGTTACTGATAACAAACAGTACGATAAAACTTGATTCATCTATTTTCTCGACAAGTGGAACTTGCATTCATTTATTAGTTGAAATCGATTACAGCACTGTTCAATAACTATGAATAAATTCACTGACTGATCACAATACCTACAGAGAATTTTCTGAAAGAGAGATAGGTTTATCATTCTCTTACTGTCTTCGTCATTCCTGTTGTTCTTTCAAGTCAAAGAACAAATAACTGAGGTAAGTGTAACTACTTTACCTGGTATATTTTATCGATAATTTACTTTTAACTGTACCAATATAAAAAGAGAAAGGGAAAACATTTTTCAAACAAAAATCAAGACTACAACATTTTTAGTGTATATAAAATCAAACCAATTCATATTATGTCCTGCTGTTGTTGACTACTGCGATATGCTTGAACAAATGTTTCAGGATATTATTAAAACAAAAATTAAGCAAGTCAAATAAAGATCAATATCTTGCAGTGAATTTAAAGTATCCGAAAGAGGAAACGAAAAAAATGTAATGCCTTTTCGAGACTATTTAGGTTATGATTCGACGAATGGGTTTACTTAATAGTGACGTTAAAATAAGGAAAAAAAAGTGATGGAATTAATCATGGGGTAAAATTATTTTCAATCCCACCAGTTTTCATCTTAACTTTAGTCTTTAGTATCATTACAGACAGTTCCAGAAATAAAATATGAAACACTGAACAACCGTCTAAACTTCACTCGAAATTTCTTCTTAAGAATTCTGCTCACTTCCATTTCTCTGAAGGAATCAAAATAATAACCTATCCACTCACTCAGCAGAATATAGTGCAAGTGTTTTAAGCTTTAATAGATAGAATAACGAATGCTGATGGTAAACGTGACTGTCTATATAATTGCTATTCATTGATCAAGCAAATATTGTGTATTAGAAAACTTCATAATTTCTTCATCACTAAATTGAAATAAACTACGTTATAATATAATTTCGCACTCGTTTGGACTCTTCAAAAGCTATGATTAAGCATTTTTTGGTGAATATATAGCTTTCCAGACCATTTAAAAATCTATCGGTGCACATAGTCCCATAACACCTCACACATGGAGACAGAAAGTTTGCTTGAGGCCACCTTTGAGATCAACAGCATTCTATCTGTAATAGTAATGATTTAAAGCCTATTTTAAAGAGGAATTTGAAACATTCACCCAACATTTTTTATTACATCTGAATTTTAATTCAGTTATCTTGAACAGTGTATCTGCTGATCCTGCTTTATTTTAAATAAGTTAATTACGAAAAATGGCTGCAATACTTTGAAACTTGTAGTTCAACAGATTTCAACAAACAAACTATTCCTAGTCTATCGTTATCAAAGAGTACACACTTATAGTTTGTTTTTATATTTCACACAGTAACAATCAGTCATGATGGTCGGTAAATATATCGAAACACTCGTATTTTTGTGTTGCGGACCCGTCATCTCATTGTATACTCAATACAGTATTCTCAAAGGGGTTCAAACCCACTATTCATCCATTCACTAAGTTAATTAGTTAGGATAAGTACCTTTGTGTAATGAGGACCAATCACAGTCTAAATTTGTGATCCCATTATTGATTAATAAAATCGAAATGATTAGCTCCCACTGGTAAACTGGTTTTCATATGGACAGGATGATAGTGTCCACAATTTAATCTCGACTATTTTTCATTTCATAATGGTTAACAGTGGAGTAAATTATAATGATTAGATAAGAAGTAATATTCAAGCATTTGCGTAATGATGTTCAAATGTTAACAAAAACAGATCATTTGAATCCTGTAAGTAAATGAAAGTCAGGACAAAGAACATTTAATGAAGTAAGGAAGTAGTGGCTTGTTTGTAAAACGAAAAACAGTAGAATTCATTTAGCTAACTGAATACTTGAAAAATTTAAAATACCAACTTCATTTTCATTGAGTAAGATTTTTAAAAAAAGAAGAAATTAGCAACTGGTATTTAGAACTGCATTGATCAACCGATGTCCTCTTCAAGAACTAGTCATAAATTATAAAAAACGTAATCTACGACTGTTTTCATTACTAGCAATTATCCAGCCTTATTGATACCAATGATGTCATTCAAAACCTCAAACTATTATTTATGTAGAGCTTTCTCAGTCACGCCTTTTCTAAGTCAAAACTAAAGACGTAGGAAGTGATGGGACAATGGATTTTAACTAACCCACTGGCTGAATGACAACCCAAAGCTTCCCAGCCAATGAACAGTCAATAGCTCATTGTTGCTGAAAGTTATAGCACTGCAGTCACTAGCCTCCCTTTTTCATTAATTTTCTAATTAATTTTAACCTACAGTAGGATCCACTTCAAAATACTGCTAAAGTCCTAATAAACACCTAATTCTTATTATTCATAGTGAACAGTCGGATACATTAGGACTGTCCATTATTTTTTAGTTATTCTTCTACAGAACCAAAATTATAGCTTATCACTGTATCCCGGTAAATGATTATTATTTCATTTGATTCGAATCTATCTAGTTTTATGACTGAATATCTCTCTTTAATATTTTCATTACTTTGTTTACGGAAACCATTAGAAAATAAAATATCTCCCTATAGGTCATTCCACGTCTTAAGTAACAAGTTAAACTAGTTTTCAGTTCTACGTGTAACTGCTATAAATTCATATTGACCATGAGATGGTAAAGTGTGGTTATCAGGTGGTTATTGATTTCACTTCAGTTATTATTACATTCTCAAAGTGCATTTAACTGAATATGCTTAGTAGAATATTCTTACCTGTATTACTCTTTTTTCGACTATCCATATCTTTAGCTAATTCGTCTTTTAGTTTAGATTTTGAATTGCTATTCACAGTTTGATCATCGGGATTAACTTCGTCTGCATCGTCATCATCATCATCATCACACTCCGACGAATCACTGGAATTATTTGGTTTTAAGTTTTCATCACCGTCATCATCATCGTCTTCACCCTCTTCATCTCCATCAGCATTACCACCATCGTTATCATGAAGGTTATGGTCCATATTATCAACTGCATTCTTCATTATCATGCTATTCAATGATGCATTCACATTATATGACAACAAAGGGGATGATGTGAGGGCGCTGTCGTGAGGACAACTTCTGATAGAATCTAACTCATTTTTACATAGGAATTCATTTGAAACACGCCCTATTGTTACTGTTGTTGTCGGTAATGACATAGCTGTCGTTGAAAGTGTTGTTATTGTTGTGAGCGTTGAAGGCATTGATAAAGAATTGATATATGTAAAATTTACAGGACACGAAATCGATGAACAGTTACTTGTGTGCTGATTCTGTTCATGATTACATGTGTTATTATTATTTTCTGTACATCGATTGTTAAGGATGAATGATGATTGAAGATAATGAAGTGATTCATAACTGCTTAATTCATTCTCATAATTCATAGTCTCATTTGACAAAGTTGGACATGCATCACTTGACGATTCACCTGGACTACTACCACTATGGTGATATGATGTTGGTTCTACACTTGACATATACTTTGATAATTTACTACAGTTTTCATTGTTATTCCTTCGATTAACACTGAAAGTTGACTGCTGATGCTGTTGCGGATGCTGATAATCAGCATCCAGAGGATGATTTGTGTAGCCTGTCATTATTGGTTGTATGGGATATGATTCATGAATGGATGGGAAACTGCAATTGCTTCCTAAATGTTTACTAATTAAGTACGGTGTTGTTGACCAGAAAGGATTTGGTAACATTTTAGAATCTGTGAATGTGCAGTCATACGGTATTAGTGATGAGGATGTTGTTGCTGGTACACTGTCGTGTTTTATTGTATTGTCCACAACATCACACGATGCCACAAAATGATTAGAAGTTGGCAAAAAATATTTAGTATCTACATCAGTAGTATTATTCACATCATAGCAGTCAGAATTGTTTGTCACACATAATTGATGATTTGATCTCGATAATATCAGATGGTTGTTGGAAGCTGCGGCTGCAGGAGTCACATCATTTGTTGTAGTAGTTACAGTAGTAGAAATATTTTTATTCCCACCAACCGCAGAAGCTGTCCCAACGACATAATGTTCACCTGATGATGGTGATCTAGGAGTTGATGTCACCAACCAGTTTTCACTACTTGGTAAATTAATTATTTTATTTGGGGAATGTCTGCACCAGTTTCCAGGGGATATATCACTTGAGGAATGATTACGTCCGTTTAGTGAGTTACCATATTGAGGTGATGAATCCATACGTCTAAACTTGTGCGGATTTATCTGACTTGAACTGGAGTTAAGGAAATTATTTTCCTCTGATTCATGAGTTGCATGACGACTAGAATTACTGACAGATGTAGATGTATTTGTGATGGTAACGGCCGTGGTGGTAAGTTTGATCACTGTTGTAGGTGTGTTTGTATTTGATAATACTGAAGAACAATAATCATGTTGAAAGTGATTATTCTGTTGGTGTGGACTGCGATGATGATTATGTGTATGACGAGGATTATTTGGAAGTAAATGAAGAATTGTCTGTGATTCATACTTCATTGGCAAGTCACTATCGAACTCACCATAATTATTAGCACTGCTATGATTATTCGAATTAAGCACAGGTAATGGTGCTGTAGAATCATCGATTTGATCAACTTTACATTGAAATGTCTTATAGTCTGAATCAACGTACGAGTAGAATAAAGATGGTGTTCTTGAGAAGTAATCTCCTGACATCTTAAAAATATAATATCAACAATGAAGATACTAGCAAAAATAATAATTAGAGTAAGAACCCCACATTCGATTTCGAAGGCAACTATAATATTACTGTATCGATGTTAGCGTTATCTTTGAAACTGATATCTCAAGTGACTTCTGTTTACAACTGGTTGTCGTTAAATCTCTATATGTATGGTGAATTGCTCATATGAGTTAGCTGTAATGATTACTGATTATTCAGTGAGATTTTTGTACTGTTCTGTGAAAATAATATAGTCATGCACGTTACGCACTTACATTTATGTGCAAGTATGCACAAACACACATTCAATGATCTAAATTCTATGCAATGGTGATTTCTACCTACACCCCTTGGGCTAGTTAATAAATATTGTTAGACAGGGGTTAGATAAGTATTTACCCTTAACACTAAGAGCATTATTAATAATGTATGTACACAAGCTACTATAGGTGCTACACAATTTGTGCTACGTTCAATAATCATGGATGGAATACTTAGTTTATTTTAAGTAATAAACCAATCAGAATTGTACAAAGGGTACAGAAATTTCACAAAAAATTTGATTGGACTATTGGAAATTATACACAAGTGGACTTTTTATTTTCATCCTTGTTATAATACATATAATAATGTATCATCGCATATGAAATGTGTGCAGCAAAATTAAAATCTTATATAACACATTCAAAATGCTAATCAGCTCTAATTTATTGACATGTAGTTTAGTGTTGGTTATTATCCGATACTTTTCGTGTTTGTTTTTTGTCTAACTAGAAAATGTTAAGGGTATCAGTAGATCAGTGGAAAGAAGAATAATCACCAAGTTAATATAAACATACTTTCTGAAAAAAGAAACAATCTAAATGTTGTCTGGAAAACATACTACACTGAAGGATTGGTTGCATATGAGAGGAATGTATTTTGTCCCCATAGAGCAATAAGATTATCAATTTATAATTTCGATAAAATTACATTTAGATTCTGACATTTTTATACAACAAGAAGTTCATTAGTGAATCATAAAGCTCGACAAGTATCTAAATATAATGTAGGCAAATTGAGAATAAAACTTCGCACAAATATTTACCATTGTTTGGTAAACTGCAGTTTATACTAATTGATCGCCAACTGATAGTACAATGTAGTCACCGAGTTAAGTAATACAACTCTTGTGTATATTGTTGCCGGTTTTTTATTCCTGTTAGGCGTTAGAAGTCATTTGGTGGTAAGGCCTGAACAGTATTCATCAGTTACTCATCATCATGATAGCTCCTTTAATCCATAAATGTACCTAACTTACTGAAGATGTCTATTTGTTACAAAGACTCGGTGGTTGAACACGAGCTGTGTAGAAAGCGAATGAAAATTAGTCCCTTATTTTTGGCTTCCTAGTTGGTTAAACCCGCGTTTATTTAAACTATATTTAGATGTCGTCTGCAGGGCGGATTGCACTTAGCAAGGGCTTACATAGCTAGTCCGTTTTTTGATTTGAAGACAACTTCTGAATAATCTCACACTGACGAAGACCCTAAGTTTCAGTCAGCAGAAATTGAGCACACAATTTTATGTCAGATTTCGGAAATCTCAGAGGTAATAGCTATCCTAAAAGAAATATGGCACAAACTGTCTGATATACATCAGTTAAGTCTGATGGCCGGTAGTCGTAAAATTAAGAAGTCATGCTGTAAAATTACTAATCGACTTTGTATTTCACAATCTATTTCAATCTTAAAATTATTCATCATTTTTGATTCCAGAAGTTGTCTTTTTCTACTGCCAACGCCTATACTGTAGCTTAAAGACGTGTATCTTTTTGAACCATACTTTCATACTATAAAAACTGATTTTCAACGGTTAGTTTGTAGGGATTTGGTTTGTTTGAAGTTTGACCACCGACTGATATCAATTAGAGAACCACTGAGAACAAGAGGGTTCTGGGTTCGAACCCCGGTGAGCACGTACTACCGATGAGTCACAAACTAGGATGAAACAGCCGTCCAGTACTCCCTTGTTTTCAATGGTTCTCTAACTGATATCATAGTCCATATCTTATCATATCATATCCATAGTCAAACTAGAAACTGTTTTGCAATGGTCAAAATATTACAATTTCTGTGAGATGAAATACCCGACAAAGAAACTAATGAATATAATATGTTACTGCACATACATTTGTTCACTTCATTCACAAAATGAAGTGAAACTAAGTACAGATAAAAATGATTCAAGCAGAAAAGTAAACATAACAACTTGGAAACTCTATACAGTGTATGAAGTTGAGAAATCGTCTGTGTTAACCCTTAATACCCATTAGACAGTTCCTGGGGATTAAAATCCATAAGGTAAACAGCAGTGAAATTTCACTTAAAACTTTCCTCTCCGTGAACTTTCGAATTCATTTATCATGGAATCTTTAATGAAACATCATTTTGAAACTTTTACAAAAGTAAAACGGAAGAAGAAAGTATTAAATGGAAAATATCAAAACAAATTAGGAGAATATAAAGTGATAACAATGTCTGCAAGACGTAGAATTGAAAAGGCAAATATTCAGTAATCGGATCCTAGCGCATACAACAGGTCTAAATACTCACTAAGTACTATTCTGTATCAAAATAATGACTTTCCGCATATTATACTTAAAGCTCAAGACAGAAAGAGGTGACTTCATACATTAACCGTTATCTATTTTTTCTCCAGTCTAATCGCAGTCATCCGATACTGCCTAGTGGGAAAGGTTTTGGCTAAAAACGATTAAATTTCGTCTGGATCAATTAAATCAGTGAAGTTCAACATGCTTGGTATCTAACAGATCCATTTTATAAGAATTTCTGTGTGTAATCTAAGATGAATTATTTTATGGTTCCATGAAATAAAAACAGTGCCTTAAAAATATGAAAATCTGATTTTTTCATGGCCATCTTTCTTTGCAATGGTTTCTCACAGTTTTACGCAAGGATACGGAAAAATACTATTTCTAATGCTACTTATTAGCAAAAATTATGCAGCCAAGAAGACTCCAGTTATCATTATTATTAGTTTATTGTATTCTTGGATCATGCGTGGAACATACGGCTTCAACAACACATCTTCACTTTCTTCTGTTCTCTGTTCTCCTCCCCAACTGGGCCTACGATCTACTCCATATCACAATCACACTGACCACCCACTCGTCATTTCCCATTCCGATTCCACTCGAGTGATGGTCTGGCGTGCAATGTCATTCGACGGTCTCCTCAACGTGTGCCCAATCCATCTCCATTTTCTCCTACATATCTGTTGAGCGATCGGCTCTCACCTGTTCGTTTGTTTCCGGTCAGAATTTCTTTTTACTAATTCTTTCTGGATGGCTGGCCATCTGATCTCCAGTATGGAGCCAGCCAGTGAAGGCACTTGTTGGTCAAATTCTGCAGTAGCCTGTTGGAAATGCTTTCGTGACACACGCTCATTCCAGGTTTCTGACACACATACAATCAGTGACTGACTTCACATTTGTGTTGGAAATCCGAATCTTGTTCTTTACGCATAAAATTTTCATGTCGATTTCAGATTGATGGAGGTGTGTACTGCCTTCTATTAGTTTTCAGGTAGGTGTCCATTGAGAGTCATTCCTTGTCATGTCTCTTCTTTCATCCTAGAACAGTTGTGCATGTTCCCTTAAATATCACCTTCAAAGAATTTCAGTGTTCCTCCACTCACGTTTCCTCAGTGTTACCACGTAGTGTCTCCGACTCTGCTCTGACCTGGTCTGTAGAGAAGGCACCCCTTGTAGCTTTGTCCTCCAGTTCCTCAATGTTGAACTTCAATTACAGTGGGCTGTCTCCAGTTATTTTCGGGGATTACAGCTTCACCATGAAGGTTCCTTGGAGCAGATGATAGTCTGAGCCCAACCACATCTGCTCCCATTCTCGACTTTGTGTCCAACACACTACCTGCGTCTCCACTCCCTAGAGTAGCATTGAGATGAAGCCTATCTGGTTTCTGGTGTGTCCATCAGGTGAAATCCATGTCGCTGGATTTGTGCATATCCTTGTGCTTGTACACGATGCCATCGATCAACAAATCATTGGAAGCAGAGAAGTCTGAGAAGAATCCTCCGTTCTCATTCGTTCCACCGAGCCAGACTCTCTTCACCCATGATGACTTCTCTTCCTGTATTATCCGCTCTCAGTTCGACTGGCATTCATATATCCCATAGTGATTTTGATGTCTCTATTTAAGATATTGTCCATTACTATTTGTACTTGTCTATAGAATTCTTCCTTCTTCTCGTGTTCCACGTCGTTTGAAGCACTGTGTGTAGCACTGAATGATAATTGTGACCTCGCTTCATTCCTTTTGAGTTGAACCTTTCTGTCATGATCCTGGATGAGATTGGTTACCACTGTATTAGGGCTGTGACTGCCAGTTGTAACATCATGATAGCCACTCACTGTTTCAGTGCACTAGTGGTTGTCGTGTGGGTGACCAGACCGGAGTAGATTACTGACTCTCCAGTTGACAGTTTCGACAGTCCACATCCATTCCATCTGCTCTCATAGAGCCCCAGAACTTCTATGCGTCTCTTCGCATTTCTTTGGCTACGTGAGCAGCTTTCCCAGCCATCCTCATACATTTTAGGGATATTCCATATCCCCATTCTTATTCTTGCTTTTATTGACAGAGAGAAGACACATCGGCTGGTTGACTGGCTTCCCGAAGGCTTTCACCAACCCACTTTGTCATTTCGCCTCTCCGATTCGAGCGAAGAATAAGCTTGTTTTTTGAATTTTTTGTATTTTCAAGATATATTTTTGTATGTTGAAGTTTCTCTAGTGGTTTGATAGGTTTAGTGGTGTTTTGTTGCTAGCCCGACACCCAGCTCTCTCTCTCTCTGTTTAGCCGAGCTTGGGACCGGCTAGAAAACTAGCAAGCTAGGTAACTTGTGAGGTTATCTAGTAAGCTATGCGGACTTAAAGATGCGGAACATTTCACGATTTCGCGTGTCATCCTT